CCTTTAGGGGAGTCCTGGACTGACCGGGTCTTCCATGACAGAAAACTTTCTCGTGACGAGTGAACTTCACCTGTGTTGAATCCTTATCTGCCATTACAACTTGCAATCAAATAATAATAATAATAAAAACAAGTATTTAACTCAGAGCCATCTTCTCATACTGCACATAAGGGGTTAAATGACTGTTAAGTCACTGCACTTAAGTTGTCGCCTGTGGGAGGTTCTGAGTCACTCAATCATTTACATTTCTCCTCCACACTCAAGTGCAGTGATGATTCAGGTGCACTTATTCCCATCAGTCCACCTCTTTCAGCCTGCTCTTCATTTCTGTCTATTTAAAGATGTGAGCTAACAAGAAAGACATGAGGATTTTGTAATGACATTTGCCTCGAATAAACTAATAAATGGGATACAGCATGACGCTGGATTTAGTATGACTCATCTGCATCTTAATAGACCAGGTTTGTTATCCAAAAAAAAAAAAAATGTTGAGGGAAAAGTAGCCTATACTATTATATAGTTATTAGTAAATATAACCATATATCATTTTATATGTCTGTTTACATAATCGATTCATTCAAACATATTTTACATACAGTATGTTTTACATATAGATAATGTTTTTGCTGTTCAGATATTAAAAAGACTGACTTATTATTATATTTAAACTTTAACATTTATTATTTTTATAGATAATGAGAACTACCCAAAAATCACAAATTATGATTCAAAACTCCCTCCTTAGAAATATGTCTAATAATAAAATATTCAAATAATAGTTCATCCAAAAAATATGAAAATTCTGTCATCATTTACCCACCTGCCATTTTTTAAAAATAACTAAATAATATAAATTCTCTAACCACTTCATAAGGTGGTTACATCACATAAAGTACAAATCTATGCCCAATTCTTAGAGCACATGGACTGACTTAAATATCTAGTTTTAAAAACATCCAGAAACTGTCAAATAAGCAGCTAATAGATTTAAACTGATCAGTGTAAAATCCAGTGGTGTCTTAGATGTTGACGTATATAATAGCCTTCCTCAATAGAGTCTGTACACAAAGCAGGCTGAATGTAGAAATTCGTTTAGACTGTGGAGTGACCTTAGAGGAGTAAGATTCCAGACATCAGTGGAGAGTTTGTCCCCTGCCGTGTTAATGTAAAGCCTGATCCAGGGCCAGACAGCTGTATCGATCCCACTTAGTCCTTCAAACATGACTGCCTGGGTTCTGTACGAGTGAAGAGCACATCCTGGGAAATGAAGAGGGGCATAAGCAATAGAAATCACTGATGCTCCATTAGGCTATGTGACCTTTCTCAAAATCAAAGTTTTCATTTGTCACATACACAATGTTTCTCCAGGTTAAAAGCACACTCACTAACACACACAATAATATAAAATATATTTGTGTAATATTTGTATATAAAATATATTTGTATACGTGTATGTTTGTATACACACAAAAATAGACTACTTACTCTAATATATTTTTTTTTATTGTAAGCACATGCATTTGGTCAGATACCTAAAATGCACCCCAAGTCAGTTATGATTTTGGAGGTGGTCCGGCGTTTTGGACTGGAGTGATTTACTTGTGGAGTGTACAGGGTGGGTCATATGTAAATTAGGGGCGTGGTTAACGGAATGGAGTAGAATGTCATGCGGCTCTAACCGGCAGACAGCTAAAGGATACTTTGATACGGTAAGCTCTGTTTTCAATTTTGTATACCTTCAAAAATACAACTGGAACACACGTGTGCATCCGATTGACAGTCTTTATCCTTTACTGTAAGATTTCACTGTGAGATTTTAGAGGCTATAGTCTGTTTTTAAAAGCGTTAGTCTCAACGGAATTTGACAACTTGAGTAGCCCACCGAGAATTATAAAAAAAACGGTGTCGATTTACAATTAATAGTAATGATTTATATTGATACGATAACTTAATATATCCTAATAGCAGATCATGGACTGTAATCAGCATCAGGCTTTTGAATTTTTATGGTAATCTTTACTTTTAAAAAAGTGCGTGTTTCACAAATCCTCGCTGCCTGCTGCTTAGACAGCTCAGAAGATTTTGAGACACAGCCGGTCTTGATTTCATCTCTGCTTGCGTCTAATTTAAGGACGATGTTTAATCGCACCCTGGTGTGCACATTCTGCAGAGAGCCTATACCTTTATAGCTGCATGCTGGTGCAGACGCGGATAATCCAAAAATCTGTTTTTATGCCAAGAATACATAAAGAGGTCAGGCTTGTCTAACTGACGTCAGTCAGATATCACTCAGTGACCAGTCGTCCGTTATTTTTTCATTGGTGGTCACCATGACATCATTAAATACCGGAGAGGAATACCGGGAGACCTTAGAGGGTTTGATTTAGCGATGAGGATTTCCTGTCGGATGCGGCAAACCGACATCATTGTTCTGCAGATATAACTGGTGAGCTTTAGTGAACCTCGTCGTGTTCTTGTCGAATACAGTGTATGGTGTTGCGTGTATTTTAAACAGAGCCGTTTTTAGTCAAACGGAAAAGAGATACAATGAGCCTGTATGCAAAATTACATTCTTTTAAATTCATGTTTGTTTGTGTGTAAGTGGAAACTGCTCTGTATAATATGCTGAACATCAAATCTTTGTTAGTGTTTCTCGAGCGGTCTGCAGTGCCGCCAAACGACGCGCTCAGATGATCAGGATCTGTTCTCAGCGCTATCCATACAATTTCATTTCAAATACATGTTGTTATCGATGCTGTGATACACTGAAATCTTTCTTGGCCACTATGAGATAATTGTAGAATATCGCGGTGTTTTATTTTTGTCTACTGCATCTCTCATAAGAATATCGTGAGCACTTATTGCAGCAGAAGCTCTAGGCACAAGTAATATTACAAGAGCAGAAGTTTACTTAACAGATAAATAAATAAGGAATTATCATCAAGTAATTTACGTTTAAAACACAAATTGGCCAATTAATTTGCATATTTCTGCCCCGACCGTCGATAAAAATAGTTCCAAAAGAAGAGGAGACAAGCAAAACGTCAAGCTTCAAAGCGTCAACGCACAGATAGAATTTCGGAGTGGAATAAAGCACACAAGTGGAGTGGAGCGACAGAGTTCCATTGAGTTCAGAGCGTTTTGTAATCATTCGGCTGTAGATCCACTTCTGGTTTTACATTTCACACTTTCGCGTGAGAAACCCACCCGCGTACAAGGAGCAGGAGAAACACAAACAATAAAAAAAAAATAAAAAAAAACACCAACACATACACACAAACAATCGCTTCCGGACTCGTCTCTGGAATTAAAATTATTTTTTATTTTGACATAACAAAATAAATAAATAAATTCAATATAACCTGAATGCATTTTTATTACTTTATTATTTACCTTGCTTGTTTTCATCGTTGTTTTGTAGAAAGTTTGGTCGTTCTGGAAGGACTCTATCTGTAAATCAAAGCCATGGGGAAGGATTACTATAAGATCCTTGGCATAACTTCAGGCTCTAATGAAGATGAAATCAAAAAGGCCTACAGAAGGATGGCCCTAAAGTTCCATCCAGACAAAAACAAGGATCCCAATGCTGAAGAGAAGTTTAAAGAGATAGCAGAGGCTTATGAGGTTCTGAGTGACCCAAAGAAGAGAGTCATCTATGACCAATACGGCGAGGATGGTAAGTATGGTTGGGTCCATGTACAGAAGAACCACTGCCAAACATCTCAGAGCCTTATCAGATTGTATGATTCATTCTTGGGCCATAATTAGTTTTCTAGGAAACAATAATCTGATAATTAGTATGTAGCCAGTTCTCTGTTCATTTATGGATTTGGACACACTAAACTTTAAAGCTTTTCACACTGTGCTTAATCCTGGGTTATTTTTGTTGTAAACTCTGCTTTTAAACCTGGGTAGATGAACATTTCACACATGTAATTTGAAGCGGTTTAGCAATATATAGTAGACCGTGTTTTAGAAATATATAGTGTCAAATGTCAGATTATGAATACTCAGGATTCATTTTCAACCCCAGGTTAAGTGTGAGTAGTGTGAAATATGAAACACAATAACCTGGGAGTCAGTTTTCCCAGGGTTTAAAATGGCCCGGGCATAATTTTTTACAAGTGTGAACAGCCCTATTAAGTGTCTATCCAGCAGTGTAAGGTAATTGGTGTTGTATTCATATTTACGGTCTAAAATAGTGCATAATACTCCAATATATCTTTTCTAAGAAAACAATACATGCTAATAACAACAAGTCTTAATGGACCCAGGCACAGTTCTGTTTATACCAGATAGGACAACCCTTAAAAGGATCTTTGTCATGTCTCACGTGGCTAGACTACTGTTCTTTATACACTGTCAAAGCAGCTTTACCACCCCTTCTTTTTCCTGACAATCAAAATAACTCCCTCGCACTGCAGGATGATGCAGAAAAGTTCTCTGACAAATGCAAGGACTATAAACATGGCACTTTTCCAAAATAAGAAAAAAGTCGGTTGAAACAAATAAGGATTTCAAATGTTCCCACTTATGCCAACTCCAGGCTAGATGCCAAACTAAGCATCTTTACACTGAGTACAACTGCCAATTCCGCCTTTACTAATGTTACTCATGAATTTCGCAAGGAATCCCTTTATGTTTTTAGAGTCTTTGCATCCGTTCTTTCTGTGCACTGTTGTTCCATTTTGCTTGAAAAAAGAGGCATTGGGTACAGTCAAAAGGCTGTGGCCGCAGCAAGCTAATTTGGCTCTATTCACACTGATGTATTATGTTTTTAATTTTGTATTATGGTATAGGCCAGGGTTTCTTAAATCTTGCCCTGGAGGGCCAATGCGCTGCAGAGTTTAGCTCCAACCCTGATCAAACTCACCTACCTGTGATTTTCTGATGATCCTGAAGACATTGATTAGCATGCTCAGGTGTGTTTGATTAGGGTTAGAGCTAAACTCTGCAGGAAAGTGGATCTCGTGGGCCAGATTTGAGGATCCCTGCTATAG